CCATACCTTTGGCTGGACCCCAACAACTTGAGATCAAGTTTCCCAAGAAATTAAGTGGCTCAAAGCTCTGTATGTGGGAGCCACACCCACAAACCACCTTTGACACAGCTATACAAAATCAATTATTGGCCTTATTTCAGAGACCCATAAATAAATCTCGAAAGAGATCAAAAGCCACAGTTAATCTCAGACCTGCGCATAGCTGAACAGATGAGGGTAAATAGGAGGGGGCAGGTTGGCCTGGTGACCACCCAAGCAGAGCCCCCAGCAGCCACTTGCTTCCACAATCCAAAATCACTGCTATACCCACGGCCTGACTCCATGGTGTCAGGATGTACCTCACCAAGATATAATCTGCTGAAAATTCTGATACGAGTGTTTTGTGACTGAAGTCTCCAGGCTTTCTCAGGGTCGGGATGGGCTACCGGCCCCCACCTCTCTGTACTTCTGGAAGCCTTGACAGTCACATCCACACCCCAAAGCTGCCACCCAGTTAAAAAACTACTCCAGCCTTTTATTTTTATGCCAATAAAAATACCGAATGCCCTGTACAACCACCATGACCTCTTAGCACCTGTATTGCAAACCGTAATGCACAAAAGGAAAAGGAGAGAGAGAGAGTGAGCAAGAAGGAAAGTGCCTCCCATAGAAAGAGGCTGGGGATAGGGGGTGGGCATTGGGGGGTGGCAGGAGGGAAACAGGGAACATTGGTGGTGAGAAAAGCACACTGGTGGAGGGATGGGTGCTGGATCATTGTATGACTGAAACCCAACTACAAACAGCCTTGCAATGGTCTATCTCATGGATATTCAATTAAAAAATTTTTAAAAATTAATGTGAAGTTCATGCCTGCTTCAGTCAACTGAATAAATAGCAGTATTCCTACACTTTTTTTAAAAAAGGAAAAAATAAGGCCCAAATTATGAAAATCAGGAATGAAAGAGTGGTTGGTACTGATAGATTTGAGAACTCTGTCTGGTGCAGACAGAGGCCAATAGAGTGAAGGTTAGGAGACGCTTATTAGAGAGTGGAAAAAGAGAGAGGGCCATTCCCAGGAGGCCCCTGGAGAGACTGGGGTAGAGTCGCACCCTGGGAAAGATTAAGGGGGCTTTTAAGTTATCTTGGGTGGGGAAAGGGGACAAAGACTGGTGGGACCTATGCATTTTATCTGGTCTTGTCTGTGGGGGGGGGGTCGATGTGTGGGTGCATGAAATGCAACCTGGTGGCTTCCTGTCACCAGGTGGGCCATATGTCTGTGCAGAGGGCAGAGTGATCTATGATTCCTGGAGTGTATCATCTCATCAGCCAGTTGCTGTTTGGTCCTGGTCACCTTTTGGTCTGAGCAAACCTCATAGGTAGTAATTCTGGCCTTAGATTAAAAAACACTGTAAGAGAATAGTATGAACAATGGTTATGGAAGAAATTCTGTTTTAAATCTATTGGGCAAGCTTAATCGATCCAGAATTTACTGACAGTGACTTATTGAATAAACAGCCTCTTTAGCCATTGGAGTATCTCTTCTGCACTGAATTACACTTTGTATTAAAAAATGAGAGTTTGTTTGGAGGTTCTAGCAGGGGAGTGCAGCTACTCGTATACCCTTGACAGAAGACTGGTCTGTGTCTACTGGGGGAAGGCCAGATCAGCCGAATCAACCTTGGCGATCAATGGCGTAACAGATGTTGCAGACAGATCGCCCTCACAGCATAGCAGGTAGGGTGTTTGCCGTGCATGCAGCCAACCTAGGTTCAATTCCTCCGTGCCTCTCTGAGAGCCTGGCAAGCTACCAAGAATATTCCGCCCACAAGGCAAAGCTGGCAAGCTCCCTGTGGCATATTCGATATGCCAAAAACAGTAATAACAAGTCTCACAATGGAGATGTTACTGGAGCCTACTCGAGAAAATCGATGAACAACGTGAAGACAGTACTACAGTGTTACAGTGCTATTGAAAAATGATACCATCACGAAGGTATAAAGCAACCCAGAATCGGGAACATATTTTCAAGTTCTATGCTTTGTTCTAGAATAAATAAAGAATTCTTACAATTCAATGAAAAATATAAATGATTTTATGATTCCAGAGCAAAGTAGGACAGACTCACTTTCCTTAATCTTATCCTCGAAACTAACAACTAACCGAGGTTTGTGACCTCGGCCGACACTGGCAGAGACAGAGACAAGTAAAGTGAAGGAAGTAGGAGAAGTTTATTGTGGGGAGGGACACTCCCGGGCTGACTCTATGAACCTCAAGTGAGCCTGGGTAAGAGTCATGCCCTGGAGAGTAGGGAGCTTTCTAGTTGTCTTGGGCAGGAAAAGGGAATCAAGACTAGTGGAAGCAATGCACTTGGTCTGGCTCTGGTTATCTGTAGGGAATTGATAGCGAGGAAGCAGGGAATTCAGCCTGGTGGCCACCGGGTGACAGGTGGGTCTTACGTCCTGTGTTCAGTGATGGGGGCACAGTGCTCTCTGGCCCCAGGAATGTTGCTGCCTCATCAGCGGTCATCATTTTGTCCCAGTCACCATTTTGTCCAAGTAAACCTTACAACTACTAATTAAATAGCAATTGCATTGTCCCGAAAATTACTCGATGGGGAATGGCTAGAGGGATCCCAAACAATATGGAGAGTCACCTAGCCAGTGCTCTCGGGATTTGGTACATCCACATGGTCCATTTGTTAAGTTTTCTTTTCACCCTCACATCCCTGGACCAGGGGTGGCCGAACCCAGGTGTGGGTCATCTACCACTAACAGTGGCAGTGTGACTCCTAGGCCATCATTTTTTTTTTAACCTAAGATACACTCTTTTTGGGCTGGAGCAATAGCACAGCAGTAGGGCATTTTCCTTGCATGTGGCCAGCCTGGCCAACCCGGGTTCGATTCCTTCACCCCTCTCAGAGAGCCCAGCAAGCTACCGAGAGTATCTCACCCGCACGGCAAAGCCTGGTAAGCTAGCCATGAAGTATTCGATATGCCAAACACAGTAACAACAAGTCTCACAATGGAGACGTTACTGGGCTTGCTCAAGCAAATTGATGAACAACAGGAGGAGAGAACACTCCTTTTATAGATTTTGTTAAATCCCTCCAACTTTCCTTCAAGAAACATTGATTCCAATTTTAACTTTCTTTCCCAGGGAATGAGACTATTTGACTTCTTACACCTTTATCATCCCAGCACCACGTTCACACTATTTAAATGCTGTTGAATGTGAGATACAAGGTAGGTGCTTCAGAGAAGCGTGGGTTCCTGGGCTGCCACACCTCATCCCAAGCCTGGCCATTGACTGTTCTAGAGGCACAGAGGAAGGAAGGAAGCTCCTGTGGGCAGCAGGAAGGGAGAAGCCTCTGAATACTGAGCATGGAGATTGGGGAGAAGGATGGGAAAAGGGCGGGAGAAGGAGAGCAGAAGGGGCTTTCAGGAACTGAGGCTCCTCAAGAGACATTTGACCTCAGGCCTCTACACCCAACCTTAGAACCCTGCCAGGCACCAGGGACGGAAAGGAGGGAAAACAAATGAAAGAACCAAGAAAAAAAGAACCTGACTGAAACTTCAGAGTAAGCAGAGATAAAACTACCTCGTATTGGGATTTGGAAGTTTAAGCTCAGTTTCAGACTGGGCCTAAGCAATCTTGAGGACTTTTTAGCTAAGTCCCATTGACGGAGAGTAGCACTGGCAATGGGGAAAAGGAGGGCTCACATCGGGTGTAGGGAGCATGGGGGGGCGTTGGGCTTCCACCTGGGTCTCCATACCTCAGAGATGCAGTTAGCACACATGCTGGCTGTCAGAAGTCTAAATTTCTGGGACTGGAGTGATCATACAATGAATAGGTAGGGTGCTTGCTTTGCAGCTGGCTGACCCGAGATGTCCATTCCTGATATCCCATAGGGTCCTCCAAGAACTACCAGGAGTGACTGCTGAGTGCAGAGTCAGGAGTAACCCCTGAGTATCGTTGGGTGTGACCCCAAAACAAAACAAAACAAAACAAAAGACACTTCTGATTCTTAGCCCTTGGGTCTAAGTGAAGGGCGGCATCTCAGGCCAGATGCTGGGTCATTTCAGCTGGAAGAGAACAGCTGTACGGACGAGATAGGGTTGAAGGAGAGGAAGTTGAGTGGGTATGCCTGTGTGCTGGCTGGGGGCCCGGAGAGGGGGGCAGGGGATGTGGTTTATGGAGAAGGGGTGGGGGAGGGAAGCAATGGTGCCTGTGGGAGGAGCAGGCACTGGAGAGGAGCAGGGCGAGTGAGACAACAGCAGCCCAGAGAATAGGCGGCATTTCGAGATCAGGTAGTGAAAAGGAGAGGCAGCACGCGTGTATGTGCGTGTGTGTGTATGTCTAAATGTGTGTGTGTGTGGGGGGATGGGTCTGTGTGCCTATACCCCTGACTGCAAATACCCCTCCCAGAACCAAATGTTATCCTTTGAGCCTTACGATTTGCATGGCTGCCCCCCCCCCCCCGCCCCATCTGTTTAACCATGACGAAAGTAAGATTGCTTGTGAGTGTGGAAGGGCTATGAGCATGAGTGACTGCTCCGGCCGGCCAGTGTGATCGGAGAGACACAGGGGACTAGGATGAACACACTGCTCAAGAAGTGAATGAATGAGTTTGCAAGAGCCTCCACGCAACTGAGTGTGCGCAGGTAGCAAGTGTTGGGAGACAGTGCCCCCAGCCCCCTGGTCCCTAAGCCCAGAAGATCTCAGGGAAGACTGTCCTGAAGATCTTTGGGCTCAGAGGCACCCTCCATTGGAGCCGGTTCCAGCTGGAGTGATGACATGGGCCCCAGGGGCTGGCCCCAGACTGGGTGGAGCCTCCGCACCTGCCTGAGTTCAAGGAAGAGGCGGAGACAGCGGCCAGGCGGCCCCTTACAGGCTCCGGGGCCCCTGTGCCCTCGCTCTCTCTTCACAGCGGGTCCCACCACTTCCTCACTTCCCTAAATGGGCAACGGTGCTTCGAGAACCCCAGGGCCTTCCCTGGCAGACCCAAGTGGCGTGCTGTCCATTGGCCTGGGGCCCTTCCTGGGCCCCCCCGGGGGTCCTGGTCCCTGCTGGCCTGGGGCTGGTTGGAGCCATGATCCCCACCTTCCCTCTGCTGCTGCTGCTGTGGCTCCAGGACCGAGTCTCAGGTGAGGGGGCAGGTGGGCGGCCGAGGGGAGGGTTGGCCTTTAGTACCCACCTCCTGCCCTGACCTGTGGCCTTGTTTTGTGTTTGGAGGTTTAGAGGAGGAAGTTGGGGTTCAGCTGGGAGCTTCTGAAGAGAGACCAGGAGAAGGCTTTGTCCTTGTATCTGGCCCAGGCGACACTCACCCAGGCCGCACAGACGGAGATAAACTCCAGACCCTCTCTGTGTGGCCTCTTATCTCCCAGGGCCTCTGAGGGCCAGTTTCCACCCCCAGATAGGGTTCCGCTTGGCCTCTCGCCCAGGACCACTGAGCATGTGATCATGCACTCACTTATTCTTAGCACACAGATGCCACTACCCCCGGCTACCTGGTGCCTGAGGGGAAGTCCTCCCTGCAGGCCTCACCCACCCCCTCTGCCGCTGCGCCTGGATGACCCTCACCCAGTCCTGCCTCCTTTGCTGCCACAGGAACCAAGTTACCACTTCCTGTTCAGTTCTGGGCACGATGAGGCCTAGCAGAACCCCGTTCTGTGAGAGGGTGGAAGGCGGGTGCAGATGAACACAATAATCCCCAAGGTCCCCCTGTCTGTGCCCCATCCCCTAGAGAGCAGTTTCCTTCTACTGTGACCAAGGAGGGTCTCTGTACTGAGCCCCCTCGGAATCCCCCATACCCCTGCCCAGTCATTGAATCAGATTATGCTGTTGAGTTTGCTTGGGATGAAGTTCTGGTATGAGAAAGAAAAAGGTACTGGATCTTCAGATTTGATTAGTAAGATGGATTGGAAACTGAGGCTGACGAGCCTTGTCCATTGTCACTCCGCCTTCAGCTGCATCCTGGAAAAGAAAGTACAAATTGAGCACCTACTATGTGCAAGGCTTAATTCTCAGAGTGGACCTGAGACAGAGAAAGAATCAGACACAGGGTGAACTGTTAACAAGGTTCACGAAACTAGAGAATGGGGCATGTTTCTCTAGACCCTGACTGAGGCTACTCTGCCCCCACTAGAGGCCCGAGGGAGCACTTTTATGCAGAGGGGTAATGGAGGGCTAAGTGCAGAGTTTATGGCGCCCTGCGGGGTAGAAGAGCCCACTTCAGTTTTCACCCTCTCCTGTCCCCCATTCCCTGAGCTCTCCTGTCTCCCCACCAGGCTGGATTAGGAAGTGCTGGAATCATGTGTGGCTCCAGGAACGGCCGTGACATCTCATAGACAAGTAGACCCTGAGAGTGTCCATGGAGAGTCTGTACTGTGCGAGCCTGTTTCTCTGTTCAGTCTAGCTAGAATCCTTTCCAATCCCATACTCCTAGAAGGAAAGAAGCCATCTTGTTATGCCAAGTTAAAGGTGGCCAGAATAAGCCTATTTGTGAAATCAGTGGCTTCTCTTAAGGTTTCCCAGCGTTTCTCATCTCTGTGAGAACATCGCTGTGGGGCCCTGGAATTCCGTTACCGAAGGCTGTGATTGACTCTGCCCATCCACACATGTGGGCCAACACGGGGCTCTCCAGCAAGGCCCTGGTGGCAGTTTCCCTCTCCCCCTCAGACTAGCAGATCCCCCTCAGACTAGACGTGAAGAAGGGGCCAGCTCAGGCAGGTTAAGTCCCCTCCATCTTCCGGGGCTTCCCTGAAGCCAAGCCCCGTGTTTCCCAGTCATCCCAGAACTCCCTAATATCCCAGAACAGTTGCAACCCCCCAGTCTGGAACTTCCAGGGGCCTGAGCATGCCCCTCGGACCAGGGCACCCTGTCTGTCGGAGTAGAGCCCCCTCCTGAGAGGGCTGCTGGGAAGTCACATGCCCCCTTCCCTGAGGCCTCACCCCTCCGTGCCTCTCGTGCCTTGTCCCCCCAGGTGGCCCTGCTGAGAATGTGTATTCCAAAGTGCACCGCTATGAAGGAGACACGCTGTCTGTCCAGTGCACGTACAAGGGCCGCAAGAACCAGGTGGAGGACAAAGTCTGGTGCAAAATCAGAAGGAAGAAGTGTGAGCCTGGCTTCACTCGGCTTTGGGTGTCAGGGCCACGATACCTGCTGCAGGACGACATCAAGGCCAAGGTGGTCACCGTCACCATGCTTGCCCTGAGGCGCCAGGACTCCGGCCGCTACTGGTGCATGCGCAACAGCTCCGGCACCCTCTACCCTCTGACGGGCTTCCAGCTGGAAGTGTCTCCAGGTGAGGGGGCCTGCCGGGGACAGGGAGGGCTGCAGGTGCCACGGGCGCCTCCCCCGTGTGAGCCGTTGGCATCAGCATCGGCTGCAGGAACAGGGGCCGACCCCCGTGTGCTGACACAGGAGGTGGGCAGGTCTGGGGATTTTGCAGACGTACCCGTGGCATTACGTGATCCACATGCCTTGCAGTGCTGGTCTTGTCCAAGGTCACAGAGCGACCCTGTGGTACAAGATTCCAGTTCAGGCACCCACACTCGGTTTCGTTCAGCCGTCTGGTCCGTGGCTGCCGGCTCAGGAACTTGTGCATGGCTCGCACTTCTGAGACTCCCAGGACTGAGTGGTTAGCAAAGATCAACACCATCCTGGCCCTGTGGACAAGCAACCCTCTGACGTATGGCTGCATACGTAAAAGCCTCCCAAGCCCAGTGCTGCAAGGGCAGGGCTATAGCACAGCAGGCAGGGCGCTGGCCTTGATTCAGATTCAATCTCAGGCACCAGTGAGCTTCCCCCAGTGCTGCTAGGAGTGATTCCTTGAGCTCAGAGCCCGCAGCAAGCCCTGAGCATTGCCAGCTGTAGCCCCAGAACCAAAAGCAAACAAAGAAACAAAGAATCAGTGCAGAGAGCTAGGATGGAAGCCCCTGGGAGGGGGAGCTGATGAGGGCAGGGATCAAAGGCGACACCTCCCAGCAGGTGACACGAAGCAGAGCCCTGTGTGGTGGGGTTGAAGGGCAGAGGAAAAGCAGCACCAAAGGCCCCCGAAGAACAAAGAGCCACACACAGGATGGCGGCTGGGACTCGTCCCCACCCTGCAGTAGAAGCCAGCACTGCGGGATCTGTGGGGTAGTGTCTGCCCCTGTGCTTGATTCTCCGCACACATGAAGGTGTTGGAGGGGGACTTTGTGGCTAGTCCTGAAGACGATAATGGCCACTATGTGGGGACAGCTGGCAGAAGATCAGGGGCACAAAAGAGGGATCACCGGATGCCCGCTGGCTGGAAATGACAGTCCTAAAGGAGGAAGTGGGTGGAGGGACAGAGACTGGACAGTGCTCAATGCACAGCGCTGGACATCCTGTCCAAGCTACACACAGTTCCTCTCCCTCCTCGGGGATGGGGCCAGGATTTACTCTGCAGAGGTCAGAAGAGGGAGAACCCCCAGGTTTTCCCTTTCACCAGCAATTCTTGGGTGGCCATCTGAGAGAGAATCCAGCTGGAAGAACCAGCCGTATGTTGTCATGTTAAGTTGAAGGTACCTCCTAGATCCCTGAGATGGAAAAATGAAGCAGGCGGTTGGTGTGTCTGGACCCGGGGCATACCTGAAATTGTTTCTGTAAGACAGTTTAAAGTTAAGGAATCCAGAGTGGATGTGGATGAAGGGGGAAGGAAAGGAAGATAGTGAGGTAAGATAGCTAAGGGTGAGACGATTCATTGCAAGAAGTCAAAGACATTCTGAAATTGATTGCCAAGATAGTTGTGCATCTTAGAGTTTACTAACAAGCAGACACCAAAGATTACCACGACACATTCGATATGCCGAACACAATAACAGCAAGTGTTGTTACAGTTACAACAAGTGTTGTTACAGTAACAATAAATCTCACAATGGAGATGTTACTGGGCCCCCTCGAACAAATCGATGAAGAACAGGAGGACAGTATAGCACAGCGGGTAGGGCGTCTGCCTTGCACGCAGCCAACATGGCCAACCTGAGTTCGATTCCTCCGCCCCTCTCGGAGAGCCCGGCAAGCTACCGAGAGTATCTCGTCCGCACGGCAGAGCCTGGCAAGCTCCCCGTGACGTATTCGATATGCCAGACACAGTAACAACAAAGTCTCCAATGGAGACGTTACTGGGCCCGCTCGAGCAAATCGATGATCAACGGGAGGGGCCAATAATATATATATATATATATATATATATATATATGCTGGAGAGATAGCATAGCGGGTACAGTATTTGCCTTGCATGCAGCCAATATGGGTTCTATTCCTTCACCCCTCTCAGAGAGCCTGGCAAGCTACCAAGAGTATCTCGCCCACACGGCAAAGCCTGGCAAGCCATGTTGGCTGCGTGCAAGGCAGACGCCCTACCCGCTGTGCTATACTGTCCTCCTGTTCTTCATTTATTGTTACTGTAACAACACTTGAATTATGAATTCGATATGCCAAACACAGTAACAACAAGTCTACAAGTCTCAGAGTGGAGACGTTACTGGGCCTATTCGAGCAAATCAATGAACAATGGGAGGACGGTATATATATATATATATATATATATAGAGAGAGAGAGAGAGAGAGAGAGAGAGATAAAAAAGATAAAGATAAAAGGCCCTCCCGTTGATCGTCGATTTGCTCGAGCGGGCCCAGTAACGTCTCCATTGGAGACTTTGTTCTTACTGTGTCTGGCATATCAAATACTCTCAGTAGCTTGCCGGGCTCTCCGAAAGGGGCGGAGGAATCGAACTCGGGTCGGCCATGTTGGCCGCGTGTAAGGCGAACGCCCTACCCGCCCTACCAGCCCTGGAGCGATAGCACATGAGGGCCAGAGAGGTAGAATTAATGCTAAGAATCATCCTGATCAACCAGGTTTATTTGATCACAACACCACAGAGGGTCCCCTGAGTACTACTAGGAGTGATCTCTGAGCACAGAGTCAGGATTAAGCCCCTAGCATTTGTTTTTGTGTTTCAAAAACAAAGCTAAAATCAAAATAATTTGAGTTGAGATTCCACCTTTACAGATCAGAACATGAAAATTCCTCTGCCCAATTAAAAACCTAAATCTTCTAGTGAGAGATGTTCTTCTAGCTCACCTTGAAGGCCAGAAGGCACGAGGTGAGAAGGGGTCTGCAATCCCTCCCTACACCCGGGCAAGGAGCCTCCCTGGCTACCTCTCCCAATTCTCCTCTCCCCACTCCTTCCCGGGTGGATGAAGGTGGAAGGCAGGCCGGAAGGAGAGAGAATGGCAAGGTGTCTGCAGTGTCCTTTGTAGGATCTCGCTCTCCATATTAGTCATTTTCTGTCTTAATATCTGAGGTCCTGGCAAGGTCTGTGTCCAAAGGCTGGCTCTACCATTGTACCTCCATGTGAGTTCTTCGCTTTGCTTTTCCTCTGCACCTCTGGGGTCACACCCACCAGTCCCCAGGGCTTACTTACTCCTGGCTCTATGCTTAGAGATCGCTCCTGTCAGGGCTAGAGGGACATGTTATAGTGCTGGTTGTTGTTGTCATTCTTCTCGTCCTCCTCGTCCTCCTCATCCTCCTCATCCTCCTCATCCTCCTCCTTCTTCTTTCCTTCTCCTTCTCCTTCTCCTTCTCCTTCTTCTTCTTCTTCTTCTTCTTCTTCTTCTTCTTCTTCTTCTTCTTCTTCTCTTTCTCCTCCTTTTCTTCTCCTCTTCCTCCACCTCCTTTCCTTCTTCTTATCCTTCTACTTTTCCTCCTCATCTTTCTTCTTCTTCTCATTCTCTTCTCTTCCTCTTCTTTTCCTTATCCTCTTCCTCCTCCTTATCATTCTTCTTCTTCTTCTCTTCCTTCTCCCCTCTTCCTCTTCCTCCTCCTTCTCCTCCTCCTTTCTCCTCCTCCTCCTCCTCATCCTCCTCTTCCTCTTTCTCCTCCCGTTCTCCGTCCTTCTGTTCACTTTTAAATTTTAGGATTAAAGTATATAACTGGAGTTTCTTTCTTTTGAGGGTGTTACTCACAGAGGTGATTTCCAGCCAAATGGACTGGCAGTTCAATATAAGGACCCAAGTGGTGCTTCTCAGCCCCTGGGGTGTTGGGGCTACCTAGGTCATCACTGTGGGTGCTCATCAGACTCCAGGTTTGCACCTTATGATGCTTAGCAAGCCTCATGGTGATAGGAATTGATTCTGAGTTGGATGCACGCTGGACATGGGTCTGAGCTGTAGTACCTAGTCCCACATTTGAGGGGCCTCTTGTTTGAGGGTTTCTTTCTCTTTTTTTTGACTTTTGGGTCACACCAGGCAATGCACAGGGGTTACTCCTGGTTCTGAACTAAGGAACTACTTCTGGCGGTTCTCAGAGGACCATATGGGATGCTGGGAATCAAACCCGGGTCAGCTGTGTGCAAGGCAAACGCCCTACCCTCTGTGCTATCCCTCCAGCCTGTTGTTTGAGTTTCTTTAATGAAAATTGCATTGCTGAAGTAAAGGATGAAACTAAGTTAATTACCACAATGGTTACTGTGAGCAGTAATAGCACAATTTGGTTTTCTTTTATTTTGCAATAGATACTATTCTACTGTTCTACTAAATCATAGATCTGAAGAAACGTTGCTTTCTTTCAAAACTGATATTATAGTTTAGGCAACATGGTTCTAATAATACTTATGGTTTTGAAGCACAGTTACCACATCTCACAACCATCAATGTGCCCACAAGACTCTCCACCACTGTCCCTGGATCACTTGGGTTCCACCTCTGACTACCTGGCCGTCCTCCCACACTTGACAGTCTGTTTTGTAATGCCAGGACCAAGACTTTGTCATCATTCTATGCTGTTGAGTCCCTCATTCTGTCTCTCTGAACCCGAGCCAATTCTTTGAAAGGATCTTTGGCGGCCTCCCCATTGCTCAGGTGGGTGTCAGGAAAGACCTGTCCCAGGCAGCCCCTCCCCACATGCCCGCCCTTCCACAGGCAGCTGCGTTCCCTGACTCTGCTGCCCAGACAGCAGGTGCCATCCTGGGGCCCACAGCACCCTTGCCATGGCAGTCCTGGCAATGACTGTCCTCTTTCTTCCCGCCATCTCCCCTACCTTTCTTATTCCCTGCTGGACACCAAACACAGCCGAATGCAGAGACCCCACCCCTCCCACTGCTCCCACCTCTGCCATCCAAGCACCACAGAAATGGGATGGAGAGAACTGACTCACCGAGTGAGGAGGAGCAGGAAACTTGGGGGTCCTGAGAATCTCCCCAAAGCAGATGTCTAATGCCACATCCTTTGGAGTTGGGGCCTTGCTGTGTCTTGGTGGCAGTGACCTGTAACAAGGCATGTCAAGAAGAAACGGTTGATACGTGGGTGGGCTGGAGGGGGCGTGGCCTCTGGTCCAGGGGCCTGACAGGGGCGGCAGGAGAAGGTGCAAACACTCCTCCCTCTTTAGACGCCTTACCTCCTTTGCTTGTTGGCCTCCTCCTTCCTGGCCTCTGCACCACACACACTGGCTCTCTCAGCTGACATAGGGGGAGATAAGTGCGGGGGACCCAAGTGCAGGTCTCCTCCTGAGTCATTCTAACGTTCCCTCCTCTCTGGACCCTCAGCCCCCACCACCAAGAGGAGCAGCCCTCGCACCCACTTGACCAAAGCGCTCAAGAGTGACACTGTCCACACCAGGGGTCAACCCCCCACCTCGGGCCTGGGGACAGCCCTCACCAGCAGGGGACCACTGCTCACCCCGGGACCCGTCACCGTGGCCCGACTCTTACCCTCCACAGCCTCAGGGACCTTCCGGCTGAGTTCCGTGTCCAGCTACAGCTTCCCCGGCCCAGGGCCCTCGTCCACGGGCCCCAGGAGGGCCCCAGAGTCCCAGACAGAGACAGCGTCTCCCCAGCATGCTGGCCTGGAGCCCGCTGCCACCCATGCTGGGCACCTGAGCACCGGATCACCCACCACAGGAACGTGCCACACCAGCATATCTTTCCTGGACACGCTGCCCCCCACCAGGTACCCCTGGGTGTGGTGAGATGTACTTCCCTAGGGCAGCCACTCTTGGTGCCTGGGCAGCCCTTGGGGGTGCCCTTCCCACGGCAGACTTTGGCTCCCGAGGAGCAGAGACTGGCTGGGTGCCCAGGGGAAAGTGCAGTGAGGATGTGTCGTGAAGGTGGGACAGGGGAGTGGACCCAGAGACTGGGACAGCAGACAGCTCTCAGGGTGGGCAGGAAAGCGTGCGCGTGCTCCCGGGTGCCTCAGAAGGTGAGAGGTAGAAGGCGGAAGACAAGTTCTTCGGGCTCCCTCAAACATTCTCTCTGAGCGCAGGCAGGCTGGAAGGAGCTCTCTGAGCAGTCTGTGGGCTCAGGGGCAGCAAGAGCTCAATGCCCCTGGAACAGGGGGCTGGTGTCAGTCCTCTGAGGGCAAGGGGCTTGCTGCAGCCCTGAGAGTGCCAGGAAGAAGGGACAGTCCCCTCAGAGCAATCAGGAAAGGGCTGGGGTAGCACAGTGGTGAGGGTTGGGCCTGGCATGGGCCTGACCCGGGTTCTGTTCCTATCATCGCATGGTGCCCTGAGCATCACCAGGTGCCATGCTCGAGGCCCTCAGCTTCGCAGGGGGCATCCTTGGTCTCCCCTGCACTGCAGAGCCCGAACAGCATCACATTCCCAGGCCCTTGCCCTGATTCTGTTGGCTAAGGGTCATGGTGGGCCCTATACCTCCAGAGCACCACTTTAGAAACATCCCCACCCCACCCCCAAACAAAGGACTAGGACAGAAACGCTGAGAGCAGGTGCACACAGCACTTCCCAGAGGCAGAGGCGCGAGTCAGGCCCAGCCTCTGCGGGCAGAGCAGAGGTGCTCTCCCCCACCACATTGGGGGACTCCAGGGACATCGAACCCCATGAAGAGCAAGCTGCAGGGAATGAGGAGGGGTGTCCGAGGCTCTGTCCAGCTATGGACATGCTCTGTCAAGTGGGAGTGGGACTCACAGTGGAAAAGAAGGACCCTCAGTGGAGACGGGGACCCACGGTGGAGAGGGAGACCCTCACTGGAGAGGGAGACTCTCCGTGGAGACAGTGACGCACAGTGGAGACGGGGACCCTCAGTGGATAAGGGGGACCCACAGTTGTGATGGGGACCCAGAGTGGAGACTGGGACACCCAGTGGAGATGGGGACTTTCAGTGGAAAAGGGGGACCCACAGAAGCCATGGGAACTCACAGAGAAGTCAGGGACCCTCAGTGGAGATGGGGACCCTCATGGAGACCACGGACTACAGTGACCATGGGGACCCACACTGGAGGCAGAGTGGGTGGGTCCTTGAGGAGGAGACCCCTCCTTGTCCTGCTCACGAGGCCCACAGTCAGGGTAGGGTAGGGTGGAGCCCCCACTCACCTTCTCCCGCTCCCGCAGACGCCAGGATTCCTCCCCCGCTGTGCTCGTGGGGGCGCTGGCCCTGGTCCCGGTGCCCCTGATGCTCATCGTGGTCTACGGGTTCTGGAAGAAGAGACACGTGGGAAGTGAGTAGCACCTGCGTCCCGAGCCGGCTCTGGGGGCTGCACCCTCGCCAAGCCCTGACCATGCACCGTCCCCTGCAGTGTGGCTCTCTCCTGTTGGGTTGTGGGGGGACCCTATAGCCGCCCGGGCCAGGCTGAGGGGCGGGCAGGGTGGATCCCCACAGCAGAAGCCTTTGGAGCAGCTCAGACCCCGGGGCTGACCCAGAGGCCGGGGTGACTCTGCAGCCTGGCCCATCCTCACCTCCGCCCCATCCTGCAGGCTACAGCATGTGCCACAACCCCACCGGAACCTGGAAGCCACTGCTCAGTAGACCGGAGCCTTTGTGGAAGCCGGCATGGTCCGAGGCCACCTAGCCAGGCCAGGACATGTCTCCCAGAGGATAGGGACGGAGGAGGCTGGCTGCAGCGGGCCAGTGGGGGTGTTGGCCATATGGGCTCGAGGTCAGCTTGCCTTCACACTCAGTTTCTTGGGCCCCGGCAGCTGGGGCGGGGCCCAGGATGAGGACAGCGTGCAAGCTCACCAGGATATTCTGCTCAGAGCCCGGGACCTGGGGCCTCTGACGGTGACAGAGAAGCAGTGTGCTGCTGTCGACAGGCCTCAGTGCCTCTGGGACTTGGGGCCCCTTACAGCCAAGCCGAGAGGAGGGGCCGCCAAGGATGCCTGTCCACCACTGGGCCCTCTGTCCTCACGTTCCCTTGGTGAAGATGACTGATGCCCCTGGCCTGTGAGGCCCAGCAGCCAAGTTCCGCCACACACTTTCCCACCCAGAGGACGAGTCCCTGGTGGGCCTTGGGGGGGGAGGGGCGCTGACCGTGTGTCCTGGCCTGTGGCTGTGCCTGCTGATGCGTCCCTCTAGCACCTCTGAGAGTCCCCGGCTGCAGGTCCAGCCTGTCCTTCGGTGGGACTGGGGGGTGCAGAGACTGGACTTGCGGCACTCGTCCAGCTCCAGCTCTGAGTCCCACCATGGGCTGAGACCCCAGAGACCCCCGGAGGGGGTGCCATGGCTTGGAGAAAGGGAAGCCGCAGTGCAGACGTTAGGGTTGGGTGGAGAGGGGGGCGCGTCTCTCTAGTTCTCCACTCTGGACCCTGGGTCAGACACCACGCAGCGGGAGAACCACGGTCACGCCCAGTGCAGTGTCACAGCCTGGTGGGCAGCCAGTGAGAGCCACTCCAGGATGTGGGAGAAAGGAAGGGTAGGGTGGTCTGGAGGACTGCATGGAGGCATCCCCTCCCGCCATCCAGTGAGGACCCTCACTCAACGGGCTGCAGAAGGAGAAACTGACAGGCCTGGTGCCGGGACACACACACACACACACACACACACACACGGTCCCAGGTCCACACAGAGCCGCATCCTCCTCCTCACCAGGACCAGGTGGCTGTCACTCTGGTGCCTGATTTGGCGGGGTGAGTCACCTGCAATCAAGGGCTCCCGAGAGTCCTCCCCTCCCTTCCGTCCCAAAGTCCTCCCTCGACGGCAGCCGGGAGGGCCCAGCCGCTGACTCGAGAGCAGCCTCACTGCTCCCCTCATGGAAGGGGACACAAACTCCTACCTCTCAAGACCGTTTCAGCACAGAACGAAGCACGAGAACCCTCGATGACTCAGTAAACGCTGCCTGATGGTTGCTTCCTGGTTCCTTTCCAGCTCAGTGTCTGCTGTCGCCTCCTACTCTTAAGACCCTGAGTCCCTTCCCCGTCAGGTCTCTCCCCTTCTTCTTCATTGGAAGGGGCCGCGGCCAGGCCCCCAGAGGTGGCTGCCGGGTCCACGCAGAGGCCGTGGCTGTGGCTGAAGTCAGGCAGGGCAGCCGGTGAGGTAGCGCGCTGTCCTGTTGGCCTCTGGCCCGAGTCCTGGCAAGGGTTTTCCCCAAGGGATCCAGGCACACAGGGGACACTGCCTCCGTGCCAGGGAATGCCATTGCAAACCCAGCTTCTCGGGGCTCTGGACAGCTCCCCACAGCCTGGCTCTGGGGCACCCCCCGGTGCAGACAGAGGCACAGAGACAGTCAAGGGAAGCCACAGGAGGAGTTTATTGGGGTGCTCTCCAAAGGCCTGGCTGACGCCTAGGGAGGGTGTGTCCAGCAGCGCCTCAGAGGGTCTCAGCAGGGTTTGAAGGTGTCTTGGGTAGGAAGGGAGCAGAGACCAGAGGGAGCCGGGCACTCGGGGGTGGGAATGGGCGCAGGCAGGCACGGAATGAGCCCTGTCTTCCTCCAAGGGGCAGGGTGATCTTCGGTGCCGGACTGTGTCACTGTCTCGTCGTCGTCGAGCAAACCTCACACTCTCCCTTCCACTCCCACCCCCTCCCCAGCCTCTGCCAAGACACCAACCCAGAGTGTAAGGCAGTGAGGGGCTCAGGGGGGGCTGCAGCCGCCCCTCGTGTGGGTGGGACAGAGAAGCAGCCTGAGCCTTCGATGTGACAACACCTGTGAGAGCTGCCGGTGCCACCCAGGGAGGGCAGGAGAAGGCTCAGGCCTTAGGCAGTGCAGGCCCCGCTCAGGTCCAGGACCCACAGATGGCCCTGAGTGACCCCTGATGAGCCCTAACACCCCCACCCCGCCCCTCCCTCAGGCTGATGAGAGGCTGAGGGATCCTGTCCCCCTCCGGCCTCCCTGCCACCTCTGTCCTGCCTAGTCCCCTGGGGCAAGTCCTGAAGGGCACCTGACCTCACCACGGCTCCTGGGCGGCCTGGGCTGCCTCCATCAGCCCACCCGGAGTCTCTGACGCCTGGAAAACCGGGGGACCCGCCCCACCTCAGGTCTGCTCCCCTGGACCAAGCCGCCACCCTGCACACTTCCTGCCGCCTCCTTGTCCTTGGTCTGGATCCAGAAACAGCCCAGGAGGGGGTGGTTTCTGTGTGTCCGCTGACAAATCTCTCTTTTCTTTGTTTTTCTGCTTAATTTTCTATGTTTTTTCTTTTTGGGTCACAGCCCGCGACACACAGGGATTGCTCCTGGTTCATGCACGCAGGAATTACTCCTGGCGGTGCTCGAGGGACCGTATGGGATGCTGGGAATCGAACCTGGCTGGCTGCATGCAAGGCAAATGCTCTACCCGCTGTGCTATTGCTCCAGTCCCCTCTGCTTAATTTTCTAGATCAAGGCTTCATGATTTACAAAGTTACTCCTAGCTGAGTTTCAGGCATCCATTCTCTTCGAAACAGTCTCTGAGCTGGTCTGGGGCCCACAGCTTAGGCAGAGCAGGTGCCACACTGGGAGGCAGCCCCTCCCCCTTCCTTCCATCCCCGCCCTCCCCCACTCCACCACCACCTCTGTTCCTTTCTGCCCTGCCAGGAGCTTCCTGGCCCCCCATCCCTCCCCTTCCCTCTGCATCCCCAGGACCTCCCGGCTCCCTAGGCGGCCTGGACAGTAGGTGTCTGCTCGCTGCAGCCTCTCAACAGCCCCAGCCTCTGTCCCCCACCTTCAGCCTGGGCTGTGTGGGCTGGGCGGAGCTGTGGGGCAGAGACAGACTGGAAAAAGAAAGAGGAAAGAGAAGTTGGTTCTTGCCTCATGTTTCCTCTTGGACTACACAGCTCTTCCTGGGCAGGGGGGCTCGGGGCACCCCAGAGAAGGCCCCCTGGCTGCCCACAGGACCACCTGCTCCCTGTGCAGTCTCCAGGCAGTCTTTTCCCGGCCCTTCGGGCTCATGGAGGCTGGGGGATCCTGGGTCTCCGCCCTGTCTGGTCACCTGGGCAGGTCCTAAGGATCACCTGACCTCGGGCTTCCTCTCTGGCCGGGGGAGGGTTCCTACCCCTCATTCTCCTTCCTCAGACCCCAGTTCAAGAAGAGACCCCACGGCCTGGGGGCCTGTGGCAGCCTCTGGTGCTGGTGCTTGCTGGCTGCAGGTGAGGGCGGGGCAGGGGAGGTGAGGCCAAGCGGCTGTGCAGGGATGGGGCAGGCTGGCGGGGGCAGGACCCGATGTGCACAGAGAACGGCTCCGGGCCTTGTCGGTTGGTCTCATTCTTTCTGACCACACTGGTGGGGCATAGGGGCTGCCCCTGGACAGTGCTCGGGGGAGCAAGCCTGCCCTCCTCATGTGGAGCCTGAGCTCCGCTGGCTGTGCTATCCCCGCAGCAGGGGCCCTGCTGGATGTGGAGACGTAACGGAGCACCTGACTGGAGCTCTCTGTGTTGGCCCCTGGTTCCCAGGGTCTATATTTTCCTGCTGAAAATACTGAGTGATAAGGAAACTCAGAGTTGGAAAGATCATTCCAAAGAGAAGTTTATCGAAAATTTCCAGGGGCTGGAGCAATAGCACAGCGGGTAGGGTGTTTGCCTTGCACACGGCTGACCCGGGTTCAATTCCCAGCATCCCATAGGGTCCCCTAGCACCACCAGGAGTTATTCCTGAGTGCAGAGCCAGGAGTAACTCCTATGCATCACCAGGTGTGACCTAAAAAGCAAAAAAAAAAAAAAAAATAGAAAGGAAATTTCCTCTATGCCAGAGAGGAACTTACTACAGGACTGAGTAAGTATGGCTCACTTGTGGAGGTTTTTATAGAAATATTGGGTCTTCTATGCGTGGTTTTTCTTTGCTATGTAGGAATACTGCTATTTATTCAGCCATTGATTACGCTGATTGAATTGGGCATGATCTCCACATTACTGTTTTTATGCAGAATATTAATTTTATTTTATTATTTCATGACCCGTGACATATTCAATATGCCAAACACAGTAACAGCAAGTCTCAAAATGGAGACGTTACTGGGCCCACTCCAGCAAATTGATGAACAACGGGAGGACAGTGACAGTGACATATTATTATTTTTAATCACCATGAGATACAGTTACAAAGCTTTCCTTTATGAGTTTCAGCCATATAATGACTGATCATCAACCCTTCACCAGTGCACATCTTCCACACTGAGGTCCTCAGTATCTTCCCATCCCACACCTCCCTCTGCCTCCATGCAGGCAATTTCCTCCGTACTCTCTTTTGTATTGCAGCTTCCACTTCCAGCCCTACCAGGGCATGGGAGAAAGTCCAGGATGTTGAGTCTCTTAAGTGGAGGTGAGTTCATAGGTCATGCCTTGTGGCCCCAAAAGTAATATTTCGGGACTGCTTAGGTTTGGAAGCCAGAATGCTTCCAATTTTGGGGGGTCGGACATATATCATACCCAGCAGTGCTCAGTCCTTCTTCCTGGCTCTATGCTCAGGGCTCACTCCTGGCAGAGCTCAGGGGACCATGTGGGAATCAGATCTGGGCCAGCTGCATGCAAAGTAGGTGCCCTGCCTGCTGTACTAACTTTCTGCCCTGAACCCTTCTACTTCTTTCTCTGCTGAGCCCCAAACTCTGAAGACCGATGCTCCTATAACTGCAATCTCACCATCTCTCTTTCTTCATCTGGCTGTTGCTT